TAATAGAATAATTAAAATAGTATAAAAAGTTAATTTAGATCATTCTTTATTTAATATAAAAAAATTATAAAGATTGGCTAAAATTTGAATATTTTTATTAGAAGTAATTATTTAATTTTATATTGATGTACCAATCTTTTTGCACCGACACATAATAAATTATATATTTATAGAACAGCATCCCAAATTTTGGTCACTTAAAAAAATTTTTTGGTTTGAACTAGGTAGTACCCAGTATAAATCAAAAATCAGACTCAAAAACTAATACAGGTATAATCATAGGGGATCTATTATATATATCAATTTTCAATTAGAGTCGCACACGGAACACCTGCAATGGAACCCATAAGTCGTTTCGAGAACTTGACGAGTTATCTTAGTACTGCCGGATGCTTTTACAGTACCACCGACCGCTGACAATATATTAAGGTCATGCCCTAACGTATAATTAAGAAATACTTGATCTCCTTTTTTTATATTACGGGTTGCTACGATTTGTGTTGACAAAGTCATGCCGAAATCAAATGATTTTCCACGTCGAATTGCTCTAGATACAACATCCTCACAACCGGCATTTGGATCGCAATGATGATTGAAAAGAGAGATTATAGGGTAAAATTGTCCCGTTGACGTCAAAGGATTAAAAAAAGAGGTATTGGGTTTGGTCTTTCTATAAATTGTTAGATAGATCCATGGTTCATATCGTGGATCAGAAACGGAAAGTTTCAATAAGTTCATTAATTCAAAGTAGAAGTCGATAGCAATAAGGCCATGTTGGAACCATGCAGTCGAATGTTGGAAGGGAAAAAGGTGCTTGATCCCTTCAATATCCAAAGGACAAATATCTTGTTGCTTGGCAATGGCAAAGATTTTGAGAATCATTATAAGAAAATTGCCTGCGCGTTTTAGTTCTTTATTTACAATTTCATACAGCAAATCAAGATTTTTTCCACAGATAGCACGATGGTACAACCTCCAAGCTTTGTCAAAACAATCACGACTACAAAAGATTTCGGAACAATTCGCTTTTGGACAAGAGAATTTTTTCGAACTGGCGGATTTATTGCAAAAATCACATAGCTGTTGGCCAGGCGCATGAGCTGAAATAAGCGGTTTTTCATCAAGCAAGATGGTTCCTTTTTTTATATTCTCTGTTGCCACTATGCCAAATTCATGTGTTTGCGAAGCACCAGGAAAACTAACTAATGACACTTTGATGCCCTTTCCAGAGTTCTTTTCCAAAAGTTTCTGAACAGAAGCAAGACTCCCTAAGGTGCAACGCTCTTGACTACGAATGTCCCACGGGTAAACTCCACAACTTGAAAACTTACACATTTTTACAAGTTGTTCGAGCAATATGTGCCGATCTGATCCAATACTATTCAAAAGTGTCGTATCTTGGTAATGTTTTTTAAGATAGCGATCCCTTTCACGTTCCCACGCATTCCAATCAACACCTGCCACTGGTCGTCTATTAGCAATTTGAAATAGTCTCTCCAACGCGCTTGCTGCTAACTCGAATCCATCGCACTTGGCCAGTGCCTCCGCCTCTCTCCATCCATTCTTACAAAGTAATACCAGATCGACATCATCATATTTGCCACTAATGATCTTTGGTTCAATGAGAGAACGGGCAATAGCGGTATCAACGCTCGCAAGTTCAGGATAGCCGAGTTTAATAAAGGTTTGCGCACGGTTTGACCATAATCGTGGGTCTTCAGGATCAACTTCAATTCCCTTAGTATACTCTTGTCGTGCGGTCTCGAATTCTCTATCAACAAATGCTTTATTACCTTTTTCTCGGTAATTCATTATCTGGGTAGTGTGTAGAAAAATATGGAGCAAAGCAATATCACGCGGTTCCTTTTTTGTACAGAAATTCGCAGTAACTTGTGAGTACTGTAAAATTCCTAAAATTTCGGGCGGATAAGTTTAAAGTGATTAAATACAAACTATGCTTTGCAATAACGTATGGTGCAAAACAAGGAGTAAATCCATCCTTGAATATGACTTTAGCATGCTATTATCTAAATTGGTGTTTTATTACGCGTACCAATAGAAAATAAAGAAATAAAACATGTACTGTATATACGTAAGACAATTAAAAATATAAAAATATAATACAAACAAAGTATTTATATACAAATGTAACACAGATTTTTTTTGTAGATTCTCTGTTTTATCTAATAACAGTCACATGTGGATGTCGTGGTAAAATTATAAACTACGAATATTCCTGTGACAAACACATTATTCGCGCGTTTTGTGTATAGCGATAGAGTAATAAAACAGACAAACCGAATTACAAACCCCCCCCCCCCCCCCCCCCCCCCTTTTCTTTTTTTTTTTTTTTTTTTTTTTTTTTTTTTTATAATATTATAATAATAA